CTAAACATCCCTAAACCCTACACCCTGAACCTTCGAGAACCCTTGCAGAACCAGTTTGGAGCCCTCGAGCTCTTCATCCCCCGAAACACTTTTTCAGGGGCTAAAATTCGTCCTTAGGGTTCCTAGTTATCCCGGACTCTCTCTTCCGTAGATTCTGGTCATGGAGGCCGTCATATGGGTAGTTCTCAAAATTATAGGTCCCTTTTGGGGTACGTACCCTAAATCATAGGTGCCGTATTATAATAAGGAACCAAAACGGGGACCATAATTTTGACAACCACCCCTATTACTCGCGAAGCTAGGACCAGGCCTCTTGATGCTGGTGTTCTCCTCATCCCTGCTATACTTCTTCGCCTGGCCGCGTTTGTCGTAGTGTGGGGCTGGGCTGAAGGATTAGGGTTTGCGGGGCAGGGTGTAGGGTAGGGCTTAGGAAGGCCTTTTGAAGGGCCAGTCTTCATATTGCGTTAAGATTTAGGTTGCAGATAATGATTCTGTCGATCGTTTTAGTGTCTATGCTTTTGGCCTAGAGCTTTGGTCTCAATGCGTAGGATGGTATGGGAAGCACTTTTCGTTGCAGGGATTGAACGAACGCCTGCGCTATCAGCTCCAACACATGAACGGCCCTGAACCCCCAGTAGAGACTATTCCAAATCGCCGACACAAGACAACCTACCGTAAGGGCCTAGGGTTTAGGGTTTAGGGTTTAGGGTTTATGGCCTATGTACCCACCTGGTACACATTAGACTAGGGTTTGGGGTATGCTACAGCATTAACAGAGTACGGAACCAACCCTCAGGAATCATGTTATGGATCCTCCAAGCTACCGTAGGGGCCTTAATAACTAGAACAGGGTTTGGGGGGTATGGTATACCATACTACTATAACTACAACAACGAAACCCCCAATACCCTGTTCTAATTATTAAGGCCCCTAAACCCTAAGCCCTTAGCCCTTATAGTAGCCCTTAAAGAACCCTTTAAGGAGCCCTTTAAAAGGAACCCCAAAACCCTATTCTAATTGTTAAGGGCCGTTCCATTACAAGCTTGACTTCAGAGTTCGCACATCTGAGGACCCGCCTCTATCTGTGCAGGGACCACCTGGCAAACTGCAGGGAGTGAATCAAACTCTCAGCTTAGGGGTTATACCAGGACCCCCCAAGGGCCCTTTAACAGAGCCCTTATGGCCCTTAATAGTGGGTATTTAGGGTACATTAGAGGGTAGTTGGGGGGTCTAGGTAGTCGGGTTTGGGGTTTAGGGTTTAAGTTTCGGCGTAGGCTTAGCGAGAAGGGGGGGGAGAACCAGGCAGCACTTCTTATAGTCCAAGTCACCAATCGTTGCATCGCGCGGGTTGGCTAATCAAGCTTCAAGGCTGCTGTAAGAGTCGTAGTCTTGTCAGAACCCTGCTCGCGGAACCCCGATTGGGACCTACGGCACCGAAACCGGCTTCCGACGAACTCCCCATGTTACCAAAGACGCCTGGTTTCCATGTCGGCCGTAGAGGAGACTGAATAATTGGAATCCGAGGCATTTGCAATCACTGTGGTGCCAAATACAAGTGGAACATCATCCAAAGTATCCTCTAACGTGTTCAGTTTCTGGGGCCCTTAAGAGTAGAAGGATTCGAAGTCCGATGGGCGGTTTATTAGTGGATACTGTCTTGAAGGTATAAGCAGGGTTGTGAAGCACTGAGCTGAAAACTTGACTCTGCATAGGATACGTCGCTTCATTTATTATCTACTTGCCTAGTTGCTCGGTCATGTATTTATTTGGTCGTGTATTCATACATATATAGCCATAAAAACACCCATACATGCATACAGGCAGACAGACATAGAGACAGCCAGCCAACCCGACATAATCATGCATGCGTGCATGTGTGCATGCATATTGCATATGCATACGTCCATGCATGCAAACATAAATGCATACAGACCATACCATACCACACCACACCGTACATATGTGCACACACACATACATGAAACTTGCGCGCATGCATGCAGACAGACAGACAGACAGACAGACAGACAGACAGACAGACAGACAGACAGACAGACAGACAGACAGACAGACAGACAGACAGACAGACAGACACATGCCTTGTACGTTTACTCAGGGTCCAAGTGCCCAAAAAGTATTTGGGTGTCAGAAGCCATTCAGAGCATTCTGTATAGTATATTGAAACCCTACAACTTGGGTACCTAGAGACCAACCCTTCTAAAGCCGTGTAGCATCTCCCACAAGAGAGCGCCCACGCCTCTAAGGAGTTCATGCCCCGATAGAGTTTCATCCTGGCTCTTGCTAGGGTTTGGGGGTGTCAGGTTTGGGGGTTTAGGGCTTTGGAGGTTTTTGGTTTAAGGGTGGGGGGTTTAGGGGTTCAGGGGCTTAGGGTCTAGAGGTTCGGGGCATAAGGGTTTAGCGGTTTCGAGCTTCGGGTTTGGACGGGAAAGAGTCTTTATGGGTCTCACACAGCTTTATCAGGATATGCGATTATAGGTTTTTCGGTTTAGGTTTGACGTTTATTAGGGTTCGGGGCTCGACAGTTTCGGATCTGGGTTTTGTAGGGTCAGGGCTTAGAGGGTCTTTAGGCTGCTGAGAGCGATTGTGCCGGGCTCTTCAACGATCGTCCAGGCCAGGACTATTGCACAGATTTATGCAGGTTTATGGAGTCTAGATTCAAGACGTCTTTAACAAGGGTCTTTCGCGCACTTGTGTTGGTGCGGCACACAGATGCAAGAGAAACAGCTAATTACTGTCCTTGAAGCACTTTGTTGGGACCCTTGGTGATTATTGCCTGGGATGTGTGAGGCTGACTCAACCACACATCCGCCGAATATGAATTTCCAGACACCCTTACAACCTTATGGAACCCATCTTGTACTTTTGTGGTACCCTGTTTCGTGTCTTTTTAGCCCCGTAAACCTCGAAGGCGCAAGCTCTACGACAACAGACAACGCCTTCGCCAAAGCTCAAAGGCCTAATGAAGACCACAACTAAAGTAATTCAGCATGTAGCCTGGAAGAGCCAAGCCCTTCTGAAACCTGAATGCCTCAAAACGAAACCATGCCTCACGTGCCACCTTTACAGGTGAACTCGGCTTTGAAACAACTCTAACCCTTAAGCCCTACACTTTCTAAACCCTTAAACCGCTGAACCTGTAAACCGTAAACCCCATAAACCCCCAAAAACCCCAAACCTATAAACCCTAACCCCCAAACCCCTAAACCCTATAAACTCTAAGCCCCATCAACCCTTAACCCCAAACCTATAAACCCTAACCCCAAAACCCCCAAACCCTAAACCCCGAATGCGACCAGTCCTCCGGCCATCGTGGTAGAAAGCGTCCCCCGGGCTCTCAGATGTACCCGCCTGGTCGCAGGATTTGGGGGATCAAAGGTTTAGGGTTAAGGGCTATAGGGTTATAGGATTTGGGTTATAGGGTTATAGGGTTATAGGGTTTAGGGTCAAAGGGTTATAGGGTTCTAGGGTTCTAGGGTTAAGGGCTATAGGGTTAAAGGGTTTAGGGTTCTAGGGTTATGGGGTTAAAGGGTTCAGGGTTATAGGGTTCTAGGGTTTAGGGTTCTAGGGTTTAGGGTTCTAGGGTTTAGGGTTCTAGGGTTTAGGGTTCTAGGGTTTGGGGTTATAGGGTTTAGGGTTATAGGATTTGGGGTTATAGGGTTTAGGGTTCTTTCTCCAGTTGACTTGAAAGGTTCAATGCCAGCTGGAGGGATTTAGGCAAGTGGTTTTTCCACTGCTTGATTTGAGGCCTTGCTGGCATAATGTAGGGGCCTTGATAATTAGTATAGGGTTT